TTTTCCAAAGGAGATGTAAAGAAGATCAGGCAACATCAGAGGGTGGTGGGTAACTTTTCATTTTCCTTAAGGAAAATTAAATTATTAACTGATTTTTCCAGCAAGGTTCTATAATTTATCTTTATCAATTTATCTTTATAATTTATCTTTATCAATTCTGAGAGAAACTGATGAGGAAGGATGTTGGTTGAACGACCCTGAGCGGTGAAAGTGCTTCATCTACAAAGACAGAAATGGAAAGGCTTGAAGGTTACAGTCAAAGAAGAAACAAATGTGTAGCTGGCTGAACAGGAGACTGAACAAAGGCAAGCGGTATGGTCAGCCCTCTGAAGCAAGGACTGGTTTTTATATGTTTGTAGAGTAGGTAGCACGGATGTTTCTTCCATGTCAGCATTATGTGAATATAAATAGCTAATAACAATGTGGGCTAAAGTGGAAATTAGTGAGGTCTTTGCAGCACCGGGATTTTTAAAAATTAATAGTTCATGGATGAGAGCATAGAGGTGGGAGGATGACTTTCATGTGCACATTGCTCTCCTGCAAGCTACAGAGGTGAAAGTAGCATCATCTAGACACAACCATGAGGGTGAATGAGAGAAAGGAAGAGCAATGTGAACATAGCTACTTTTATGGATGACAGATGCAGAATATGACCTTGAAAATACTTTTTAAAGATGGCTTACTTTAGAGCACATTGTTATGGTTGAATCTGCTTATGCAAATATTGTGAATATGCTGCTATCATCTCACTCTCCTTCCAGATTTGTTATTATGCAGGTGCACAGACAACTCACACTGCTTATCCAGATGGTCTGGAGGTACCGCAGTTCCCTAATAATCAGATAGGTATGCAAGATCTCATAATATGAATGTCCAGATTTATTTCTATTATGAAAATGTGGTATGAATTCTGACTCCAGCAGATTGGGTATTTTCTTGCCATTTCACACTGTCTTTACATTTCACTTCCAGTATATTCCATCACTTCACTTCTCAGTTTCCTCCTACAAAGCAAATATAATAATGGAATATAAATTTAGCTCTTCCAATCCTGATTATCTGATTATGCAATTCTTTTATTTATTTTACCAGTATTGTAGATATAACTCACATCCTACATACTGCAATGTCCCAAAAAATACCCTGATCTAGCTTTGTGTAAGGCAGCCTGAAAGAATAGTAGACAGACTTTTTACATCCTCTTTTCTACAGAAAAACATTATCCCGATGGCACACAAGAAATTGTGCTCCCAGATCACACAGTGAAATGGCTCTACAGTGATGGACTGAAGGAAACTTTTTTCTCAGATGGCACAGTAGTATAAGTAGAAAAGTAAGTCCTCTGTAAATAACAGGGACCATGCTATAGACACAGATACAGCAGCACTGACATTCAGAACTGTGGTTGGATTTTCCATATCTGGGAAAATTCTAGATGAAGGGGAAAAGGATTTGTAAGATAACAAGGATTTTGCAAGAATGTGGCACTGAAAATTCACTTCCACCTTGAATGATAGGTGATGATTCACCACTGGTAAAATTACTGTGAAATATTCCTTATTTAGTTCCATGTAACTTTACACTGGCCAGAGTAGCTGGGAGATCAGCAGTTGTCAGTGTTAGCTATATGGATACTAAAGGACTCAGGATGAGGACTCCTGAGCTCTATTCCCAGGTGTTTGGCTCCCACTCTAATATTGGGCAAGAATTGAGATTGTCTCAGTTGGTTACAGCATGGTGTAACCATGCTATTAAAACCAAGGCTGTGGGTTTGATCCCTGGAAGGGTTATTCAGTTAAGAAGTGGACTCGAGAGTCCTTATGGGTCTCTTCCTAGTTATATTCTGTGAATCTGTATTGTCTCTCTATTCCTCCATGCAAAATGAGAAAAACAGCTTTGGGACTCTTGCATGTCTCTTCTGAGGAAGAGGAAGGATCCTGCTGTAAAATAGATTTTCTGCCTGCAAAATGCCTTGAGATCCCTGCATGAAGTAATGTAAAATTTGGATCTCACCATCCATTAGCTATTATATTATGTATTGAAGTCTTTTTATGGGACCAGATTTCTAATGCCATTCTATGTAAATCCTGAGGTTTTCCACTTGACGTTATTTTCCTGTTTCATTGAGCTATTTATTAACTCTGTGAGAGTTTCATTGGGTTTTTATTAACTCTGTGAGACAGGTTAATAAAAGACAGTATTTTCTCATCACTTCATTCATTCCTACTTCTTTCAGGAGCAGAGATAAACTAGTGGTGTTCAGTGATGGCCAAAGGGAGCTTCACGCTGCGCAGTTCAGAGGAGGGAGTACCCGGATGGCACCGTGAAAGCTGTGCTCTGCAATGGCAGACAGGAAACCAAGTGCTCCGCTGGAAAACTCCAAATCAAGGATGAGGATGGTAATCTCATCCTAGAGAAGAGGTGATTCCTCCCTGCAGAAGGCTGCGCTGTACCTATGTAGCTCAAAGCATTTTTTTGTCAGGTCAGAATTTTTAGGAAGATCTAACTTGTGAAAGTGAATGGATGGATCTGTAGGGCTGAAAGTACTTTGGCTCAGCAACTGGTGTTTAGATTGGAATAATGTTACCTGAATGAAATTAAAACTGAAGGAGATGCAGTCACACCCTTTTTGTATATTTATTAAACATTAAACATTAAAAAAAAATACCCACAGTACTTTTCACCAAAGTGTTTCTTTCATGGTACTGATCACACTTTCTCTAGTTTTTCTGCAATTTTATTGTGAAATTGACTATGATTAATGACTATGTTATAAGAACCCCAAATATACAGTTCAGTGCTGCCTTATGCTGACTAGAATAAATCTACATGGGGTATTTATTTCCTGAGTTAATAATCAAAAAATGTGGGGAAGTGATTGATGTCTTCTGTTTGTTTGGGTTTTTTGAAGCAGAATTTCCCAGCATGTATCAAGGCTTATCATGAACTGGACATTAGACCAAACCCTGAGCAGGAGTGGAGAGAACAGGTACAGCTCTGGATGTTCCTTCCAACCAAAAATCATTCAAAATTTATATGATCATAATCTAAAAACTCTGCCTTATGCATTTGAAAATAAAATGTAATGTTTATTCCATCCTAGTGATTATTCTGGATCAAAGATCTGGATCTTCTGAATCTTTCTTCTTCCTCCAGCAGTCTTTCCTCTTTGTTGCTTTGTCTTTGAAATAACCTTTCCCACTATTGCTTTAATGCTTCAGTAATGCAAATATATTTCTGGTCAGTGAATCTCTCCATCTGTAAAGTTCTTTGGATGGCACTTGATACTTAGAGGGATTAATAATTTATCAGCTGTTGCTTTTAGCTTCCTTCCCCATAGACTGCCTGTCAGAAAGCCATAGAATAGTTTGGGTTGGAAAGACCTTAAAGATCATCCAGTTCCAGCTCCCCTTGCCATGGGCAGGGACACTTTCCACTAGATCGGTTTGCTCAAAGCCCCATCCAACCTGGCCTTGAACACTTCCAATAAATTTTTCCAAATCACTGAAACTCTTCTCTTGTAGAGCTCAGCTCATTACCTGCCCCCTGAATGAGATAGCAAATTTTCTCCTTATGCCCTTCAAATTCCTGTAGTAACAAATACACTCTCATAGCATGCTGCTTTAGCCTTTTCTCAAGCCTAAGTGCAAAAACTGCAACATTTTGGAATTGCTCCCTCTTCTCTTCTGTTTCCCGGGGCTCAGACAATCAGCAAATCACCACTCAAATTGCAGAGCATCTTTCAAAGAAAGTGCAAGATGCACTGCTGGTATTCATCATACACATACTTCAGTTTATCAATTTAATTAGGAAGATACGATCATTTTGATATCAGCTGGTGTAATGATAAAATTGTATTGTTTTCCTTAACTGCTTCATAACACTCCTGCTTTCAACTACAGAAATAGTTAATATATTTTATTTGTTTTGTAAAAGAAAACTCTAAGATAAAATCAGGACATCATTCTTTTCCATGTGTTTCAGTAGGAATTTCAGTTTGTGCTGCCTTATTCTGACCAAAATAGATCTATGTTGATTTTTTTTTTTCCTCAATTAAGCATGATAAATAAAGTGAATGTTGCTAGTGTTTTCAGTTTGGCTGAGAAACTAGATATGATACCAATGTTTTATAAAGGACCATTTTTTATTTCCAAGAATTCCTCTAACAAAAGGTCCCTGTTCTCCAGTTAAAATGCTGACACTCTTTTTGTTTCTGTAGTAAATCAGAAAACATGCTTTCCTCACAGCTTTTAGCCTTATATCACTGTTTACTATTGAATAACCCATCACTGAATCACAGAATCCTGTGGATAAGTAATCCCTCCTAATTGTAAGCTAAATAAGGAACAATTTTATTATCATGCTGCTTGCTCCTTGCTTCATTCATTAAGCACTCTTGACTCTAATTTCAGGAAACATTTTGGAATAATTTGGCCCTGCACAATGTGTGACACATGGGGAATATGTGCAAGGCAGTCCTTAGAGTTGTGCACAAGGGTGACCCTACTGAAGATTTTGTAGCACGTTTGCCAGCCTGTGTCTGACCGTGGTTTTACCAAGACTCCTTTTTTCAGGTGATATTTTATAGTATAATAATAAATGGATTTTTGACATAAAGGGTACACAGTGGATTTGGAAACAAGTAGGCAGGCAGTTCACCTGCATGAATGACAATCTCTGTCAGGTGTGTTATAACTGAGAGTCTTCATAGATGAGCTCTGACACATCCCACTTTGTTTTTCACAGGCTGATTCTCACATCCTCTCTCCTCCACCTTCCACTTGCCTCAATTAACCAGAAGCATGGCTCTATCATTTATAGTTCACAACTGTAGGAACAAAAATAACCCTAAATTAAGTGTGACTGCATATTGTGCTTAAACTGTAGCAACACACAGAGCTGCTTTTCAGTGGTTTACAATGGATTTACAATGAAATTTTCATTAATGTCAAAATGTAAATTCACATAATTCAAAAGTTTCACAAGTCACAGAATAGTTCAGGATTCGAATTACTTTATTTGAATGTGGAAAAAAAAAATATTTTGGGAAGGAAATACATGTTTCTCTCTCCACTCTCACATTTGGGACTCTCTCCTATGATGTACTTATGTCATAGCTGTCCAATGCATAGAGAAGTGTCCAGGAGGTTTTTCAGGAAGCCTGGGAAGCAGGACAGTGGAGTTAGAAGCTTAAGGTTACCACAGAACTTTATTTCCTGTGAATCCTTTGCCCTCTAGTGTGTGGGTTAAAAATAATCCTGGACCATCTTACATTCTATAGTGAGGGAATTGTTGCCTAAAAAAAGAACGGATTTGAAGCAAGCTTTAGTCCAGGGTGGGAGGAATAAGGCTCCTATTGGAAAGAGGAGGCATCATTAATGGCTGTGACTGTGGCCAAAATTTGAACTTCTGTAAACAATGACTTTCCATATAGCAAAATAAGATGTAATTCTGTATTCCAATATTAATATTTATATGAATACGAATATATTTAGTGATGTTCTACAATTAGACCTTCAATCTCAGTTTTAAACTGGTGTTGGAAGGGAGGCAGCAAGATCTAAACTGCACTGGGATTATTCCTGAACATCCCCTTATAGATAAGAGACAGACTGAATCTGAATTATCTTTAGTGACAGCTTTCCTTGAGTGAGGGTTTATAGTGAACAGGAGATAAACATGGTAAGCAGTTCCTAAAGTATGGTCATGATGTAGTAGGTCTTACATAAAATACCATGAAGGAGTAGTAGCCTTGCTGTGTCTGTTGCAGTCATTCATTCTTTCCAGCCCCAGAAATTCGAGGTTGCTGCTGAGCTTACATACAAACCTAATGTGATGATCCCAGAAAATGATGGTTAGTTTTCCTTCCACTATCTTTCCTGGGAATTCTTTCCTTTGCCTGCTTATTAAACAGCACTATGTCACATGCTAAGTAAAAAATGAGTAACAAACAAGCAAACAACCAACCGGAAAACAAAAAAGACAGACCAAAAAACTCAACCATACCAAACTAAACAAGACTTACAGTAGCTGGGGCAAACATTCTTAAATTAAGAAAAAAAATCATGTAGTTTGTCACAGCCATGGTAATAATTTGGATGAGTCACCTTACAGACTGCAGTTAGCTTTGTCTTTTCTGCACTGCTCAACAATGCTTTTAGCAGTGTTTCTGCTATAGAACATGCAGCCAGCGTGTGGTAAACTGTGCCGTCACAGTCTCCACTAGGTAATCATAAATTAAGCTGTGGATAATGTCTGAACAATGAAGCTTTCTTTGGTAGTTTTTCGTATCACCTTGTATTAATGAACTTCTTTCATACCTCTGGCATTCAGGGAATGAAATTAAACTTCAACATTCAGGGAATGCCAGTTTACAGGCAATTGGCTCACCAAACCTAGATATAACAAATGTCTGCTTCTATTTCCCAGATAATTAAATGCCAAGAAAGGAAAACAAACCACTTTAACTAACAAAGAACACCTATCAACTTTTGAGAAAGCTGTATCACATATTAGCAGAAGCTCTTGAAGTGCAGTTATGAAGCACTGACACTACTATTAGGCATCGGTCTAAATGAATGAAGATAAATTTCTCTCACTTCAATATGTATAAATGTGTGCCCAGGTGGACCCTCATCTTTTCACCAGCCTTCATTCCCAATGGGTTCTATGTTCAGCCCCTTCCTTAATAATTTGTAAACCCACCCGTGAGTTTGCAGATATTCTTCCACAACGCGGAAACTACCACAGCTGTCTCTGACCGTGCCCCAATATGACACCCATGTTCTGCTGCTGCCAAGCAACACCCAGAAGCAGAGAGCTTGGAATCATAGAACCAGAATGATTTGGGTTGGAAGGAACCTTAAAAACCATCTAGTTGCAACCCCTCTGCATTGGGCAGGGACACCTCCTGCTAGCCCAAGTTGCTCAATGCCCCATCCAGCCTGGCCTCCCCCATGAGGAGAGCAGAATGCCATTCTCTGTGACATAGTGGAACACAGAGCATTCAGTAGATAAATATCAACAGGCTTATTATCCATTGCCTGACTTAGAGCTCTTGAAGGTTTCAGGCACATGACTGGGGAGGGATTCATTTGGGTACCCCTGCTAGACTGAAGCAGGGCTCGTGGAGTCTTTCTTGGCCATGAGAGAGCAGATGTCTCACGCCACAGCAACCTCAACTATCATTTATTTTCATACATTTCAGTGAATATATGTTGCTAGCTGCCTAAATATTTTTTATATATACTATGCAGCAAAATCCCTACAGCCTTTCCAATAAACAAAACCATATAAGTTTTATAACTGTGTATTGGCCATGCATAACAATGTAAGTGACAATTTTCATTTAAGTCATCTCCAAGACTGCTGGGCACCTTTATATTCATCCTGTTCCAGGCAAAAGCACGTTCATTGCATTGCTGCCTGTAGCTGTGGCTTTCATTCCCAAAGTAACAGAATTTTTCTTTATGGTCCTTGTGAAATTGAAGAGTTGTCATTCAGGAAATGACTACATAAAATCCTATGAAAAGTCAAGCGTGAAAACCAGCTCCTTAAACCACAGGCCATAATGTCCTATCTCCTGTGCTGATTCAATGTCAGTGATACTGAGGTCCCCAACAAGGCCAGAACATCTTTTTCCTGCTCCTTTGCCCCAGAATTTTATTGCTGAGCATGGCTTCATGTGGCATGGGATATCCCTTCCATCACTCTGTCTCAGCTGTCCTGGTTTTGCCACCTTCCCATTTCTTGGGCACCTGCAGCCTACTCACTGAGAGGGAAGAGTGGAGAAATAAAGAAAACCTGAATGTTCTGCAAACACTACTCAGCAATAGCCAAAACACTGGTGTGTTACCAACACTGTTTTAGTTATAATAATCTGAAACACAGCACCATATGGACTGCTACAATGAAAATTAACTCCATCCTAGCCAGACTCAGTACAGAACTAAAAAGAGAAACTACAAAAAAAAACCCTATATAGTGAGGTTGTAGAGCATCTCATGTAGTAGAATCCTGACTTCTTTGTTGCTACAAATAAAAGGTTATTACATTCACACAGATGGGTTTTCCATCATGACGTTGACCTCAGAAATCCTCTGCTTCACTTGCCATTGAACATCACTCTGTAACAGAGAATCAGAGGAGGATTCAGAGATGCAATGAAACACGATGTTGTGTTTCTTTATGAGAGGGAAGCAGTGTGGAGTGAAAATCAGCAGCAGCCTAGAGTATCCATCTGTGCATGCTGAGCAGATAGGAGGCTGTCAGGATCCTTCAGCCACAATAGTTTTGCCATTTGTATTTCCAAAAGAGAGATCAACAGCATGTCTTTGAGCTGACAGGGCAAAGGTGTAAGAGAAAGCTGCACATGTGAGGCAGCCCACCTGTCACCCTCTTTTCTGCAGGACATAATGAATTTTACTTTATTGTATGAGACCTGGAAAAATGCTCATCATGTGAAAAGCCATGAATCAAAACAAGTAGAGTCTAAAGGGGAGTCCAGATGGTTGGGAACAGAAACATAAGAAAGATGGCAAAGTAGCATGAAGCTTGTTGCTGTTTAAAAGACATAACAATTTGGGGATTTTTGTCACACAAATTGTGTTATTGTTGTCACACCATGTGGTGTCTCATCTTCCTGTAGTGGTGAGTAACTGAGAGGAAGTAGTTTCAAATTATTTCCATTGCAGTCAACAACTTAGCTAGCTAAATGTAGGTTATTTCCAGAGGCAGCACTAGCCTTGGACATGAAGAGCATTTGTCTGCAATTCCTTTGGTGCTGTCTGCCTCACACAGAGAATCTGAATGTGCCATTACCAGTAATGAATATAAAGTCTGTACATTGCTCTCTCATTAAGATGCAGCGACTCTTTGCAGTAAAACACAAAAATCCATATCTAGAAACAATATGGGTAAAATTAAAGAGAAGTTGAAATTAGATGAGCCACTGCAGGATACGTATAGATCTCAAGAACTTATTACAGTGTAAGCCCATCTTCTTTTTCTCCCTTTCTCTCTGTGACTTGCACTGCCACCTGCACCCTTCTCATGGTGAGATTCCCCATGACCTGGCTGCTCATCTTGAAAACAGTTCTGTCATCCAGGGGGATGGGAAAGTGGGCCAAGGTCATAATCACTGAAGTATTTTGTCTTGTAGAAGGCATCTCTTTTAAGATGAAGTTGCTGTAAGTGGTGACAGAAATTTTTGAGACAGGAAAATCAAAAGAGAAAGAGTGCTGAGATAGAGGGATGACATGGTCAGATTCACAGCTGTCTGCTGACCTAAGACAGGTTGGTGGACTCGGTGGTTAGTTGATTCTGTGGTGTGCAGATATGAACTGCAGATATAGGCAGTCTACAGGCTGACATAATTTACAACAGGCGTTAAAGAATGCAGCATAAAAACAACATAAATCTTTATAATTAATGGTTCCATGAAATGATGTGTGTTAATTGCAATCAACAGAGCAACCCCAGTTGCTTCCTTCATTCTGCATGTGGTTTGACTGTAAAGCTATACCAGGTCTTACCTACAGAAACAAAAAGGTAGAGGACTTAAGGAATCTTGCTGACATTTGTTAAGAGTTTATTAATTAGTTGGTCATCTTGCTGAAAAGGTAAAGTCAGATAATCTACCCTTATAAAGGTGAGATGTCAAAGGAGGTTTTTACTCGTTAGACATTTGCATTATAATGGCCTTGAAATCTGTTCCTTTATCATCTTTCTGGATACAGTACACACTGGAACACCCTTGCAGACATGCCTGTAAGAAGCTGGCCAATTTGCTTTACCTCCATCACTCTGACCCTGTTGAACTACATATGTGTTTCCTGGGAGTGGGGTCCTCCATTTTCCTTCTTTGCAGCAGCAGGTGTCCCAGGGGAGCTTTTAGCCTCGAGGTATTCCACTGCTCCGTAGGTCACCATGGACAGCACAAGCACAGACAGTACAATGTACGTTTTGATGTAGACTTGCAATTTGGTGCTGTAAGCAAAGGCGATGACAAATCCAACTGATTCCCAGAGACGGTAATTTGCAAAGGCAGCCTCCTTGTTTTTCTCAAATAAAATGCCATAAAGTGCTGGAAGGAAGGAAGGAAGAAAGGAAGTAAAAACATGTCTTGTGAAGATTAAATCTGAAACCACATATTTTCTGCAAAGGGAATAAATAGAGCACAATGGAGAAGACAAACACTCCCTCATAAATGTCAGAGAAAGGAAAATACAAGCCATTGTTGTGCTTCTGTGAATTGTAACAAGTTAATAACAAAACAAACACGACAAAACAGAGAACATGGAAGAAAAGGGGAACAAAACGCAAGGATGTGATCTATTGAAGTAAGATGGCAAGACTTCTTTTTTGATACTATTAGCTACAAAAATCAAGGGTTTTGCACTGAAGAACAAGTAAGTAAGGAGAAGAAGGAGGCCTTGACATTGTAGAATCTCTGTATATAACTATTGATAAGCTCATACCAAATCCTTACAGGCTTTCACAACATGGGCCCAGATTAAGCATGCAGGTAAGACATGTGTCTCTTAATCAACTATGTTTTCAAATTTTCAGCTCATGGATGGGTTAGCAAAAAGAATACTCTTGATGCATACAGAACTTCCAGGCAGCAACTGGAAAATTTACTTGACATTTCAACTGATCATCCTAATGCAGTTGTGTTCACTGGGAAGCTCCCAATGAGCTCAGTCAGTTGCCCACCCACCACTGGGATCCAGGGAGGGATTCCAGCCTCCAGGTCTGACTAGTGAAGCACATAGGGAAGGGGAGAGAGCTTGCTTTCCTCTGGGTGCAGAGCTAGCACCATTGTGGTAAAGAACAGGGCATTGACTCAGACGTGGTGTGCACAGAGGGAAGGAGAAGAATATAATGAACTTTGACTCTTTTCATCCACTTGTCTAACAACACATTTGCTTGAAATATGTACATTCATGTCGGAACTCAAAATGTCCCTCAGACATTTTTAGAGGTTCCAGGCCTTGGTCAGAAGCATTTTAGACCCTGGCAAGCAGCAGAAAACAGCTGTGATCTTGAGTTTGAACCATGGAATGAATTACCAACTTTAAAGGTGGAACAAGCAGTCACAGAGGGTTAGATGGTATAGTAAAAGTAGTCACAAATTAGAGGGTAAAATTTTTTAGTATTGTACAGGGGGGTTTTAACACCTGTACAGGGGGGGTTTTACTTTGTACAGGGGGGTCAGGAGTTCTAAGATGGAGGAAAGTGGGCCTGATCCTGTTCTTCCTCCTTCTTCTTCCTTACCTCCATGTTCTTGGTGATGTTGGCATTTTTCTATTGGTTTAGGCTGGGGACACACTGTTCAACGTAGATAATAGATATTGGCACATTATTGTAAATATAGTACATGTAATTTCTGGTATATAATGTTTGTACCATCCCACTGAGGGGCAGAGCCCCGCACACTGCCCTGCAGGACAGACCTGCGGCAGGGCAGCAGAACATGTTAGAGATAAGCAAAAATAAACAACCTTGAAAACAGCACAGATGAATTATGGCTTATTCTTTGGCAACGGGGCAGAAAGACAGAGACTTTCTACAATCTCGGAATCACCAATACCCACAGATTCCGACACATTCAGTCAAAAGGCAAAGAGGAATGTAAAGTTCTCTGAAAAATCTGTGTAGACTCAACTACCCCTTCAATTTTGTTAAGTAAGGGGAGATTTCATCCGTATGAAAACTTATGTGTCCTGATGACTGCAAGAGGACATTTATTGAATTATTTCAATTTAGGCATGATGGAAAATCTGGACAAGTGCATCACAAGATGTACTTAGTACATTAAACTGGCTGAGTGGAGTGTAGATAAGATAGTACTTAATAGTTTTACCTAATAAATGAAAAAGTAAAAGTTCTTAATAAATTCCCTGATATGCCCAGTGTTATCTTCTGGAAAGGTATTAGGAAGGTTTCTAATGCCATGGCAGTTCTGTGTCTAAAGGTTCTCTGGTTTTCAGCTGATGCATATTTGGTATTTTGAAACTAATTGTCTGGATGAGCTTCAGCAGGACCTGTTGGGCTGAGTGGGTGGAGAGGCTGCTAGTTCTGAAATGTCACAGTTCACTTCCATGGAAATTATCCTGTTTTTTTGCCATTGCCTGTTTTCCTACTTGTTCCCCTGGTACTAGTAGCATGGGTATATAACAGGACCGCTGGAAATTATTTGAGTCTGGGTTTTTTAACTCATTAGACTTATATCCTTTCTAAAGACACAAATCAGCCTGGAAAGAACTTGGTTTTACTGTAGTCCACCTGATAGTCCCGTGCTACACAATTGTTAGGCTCCAGGTACAATTTTTGTCAGTGGGTAACATCAGCATCTGTGCTCAAGTTAGGTAAGAAAGAGCACCAGATGCTCTGAAACAAAGTAGCTTTTATTGGAAATAAGTGACAACATCCACACGTGAACACAAACATGTCAGGAAAGCTTTGTAAAATGAAGTCTTATAGGCTCACACCGTGAGCCTACATATCCTCTAGGGGGTACTCGAGTATTAAATATCCACAGGAGCACAAAACAAGCCAAAGAATGCCTTAAGTATGTGGCACTGTGCCATTTCTGTATTCACTGGTTAATCTACAGGTGCCCAAGCAACATTCATGGGAGCTTAGCAAAGGAAGGACCACAGACCTTGTAAACCAATGTTACTTTGGAGGTCTTATCTCACCTCATAGTCTTTGATGCTGAGAATTTCTTTTGTGATGTATAAAACTTTTGAAGGAGATAAGACATTTAGTCCTATGTGGGTATGTCAAACTGAAGATCCTATTCTGGGATGCAGCATTTGTGGGGTAATGTCACTGCACCTCTCTATTAAGGTTTCATGTCATCACTTGATGTTTCACTGTGACAATGTGACAAAGCGATCTTTGTGTAATTTTATAAATGGGAGCTGTGAAACAGCTGAGTAAGGTACAGACCAAAAAAAGACACTATGCAAGGAAAAAGAACATTTGGGTGTTTTCCTACTGTGAAAAATTTCACACAAATGTGAAATTTCCACAAATATCTTGCAGGAATCTGGGAATGGAGATGACCTGAAACAGTGCTGTAGAGATTAATCCTGTCACATAATTGCAGAGCTCACTCATCATCACGTAAGCATGAGACATTGTCCACTGTCTTTGCCTCCTCTGTGAGGTTTGGAAATGATAGTCACTTCTTAGCCACCCTCTCCAATACTTAAGTCCTCTGTACTTACCCCTTTTTTCCCTAATGTACAGGTACATTTTTGTCAGTTGTGCAGGAACCTTACTGAGGAAACATGCTCCTCGAGGATATCTCAAATGTATGTAAATCCTAGAGAGAGGGTACAAAGCCCAGCCCTTTTCAGTGGTGTTCAAGAAAAGTGGGCAAGAGGTGATGGGCATAAGTTGAAATATATGTGGTTTCCTCTGAACATCAGGACAGAACTTTCTACTATGACGGTGACTGAGCACTGTCCCAGGTTGCCCAGAGAGGATGTGTAGTGTCCTCCTCTGGAAAATATCAAAGGCTCCCTGGACATGGTTCTGAGTAAGTGGCTGTGCCTGGGTGGCCCTGCTTGAGCAAGGGAGTTGAAGTCTAGAGGTCCTTTCCAGCCCTAACCCCACTGTGATTCTGAAAGAAGCACAGTATCCAGGGACAAGGCTTTCTGGATAAGATAGAAGCAGGACAAAGGACAGGTCCTTCAAGTTCTCAAAAGTGTTAGGAAGAAGCTTGCAGAGCAGTTAGAAAGACAGTGACTGAAGAAGCAGGTAAAGAATGAACAGCTATACTTAAGAGAGAGCAAATCCTCACTGATATTCTCCTTCCATGACCCTGAGTATTATCAAGAGCACTGATTTAAAATTTTTACCTAAGGCACAAGCCTCTGATAAGGATGTGAGATGATGAGAGGGTGTCCCATGATGTATGTATTAGCTCTCCTCTAGGGCATATGAGCTGGAGCTGCTGGAGGGGCAGAGAAGGATGCTGGCCCTCGTGTGTAGAGGCAGGGACATCTGCTTGTAAGGAGATTACTGTCAATGCCAGGCAATGGACTGCCATGTTTTCCATCTGGCTCTCCAGGAGGAACATGACACTTTATCTAATGGGTGAAATATTCTAAGGCCCTGAAACGACCAAAGGGTTCAGAGGAAGGAAGGCCAAGACACATAATCTGATGTGTGCCCAGAGGAGCACTTTTCCCTGAAGTGATTTTGTAATGATGTGATATAATTCCAGCTTAAATTTTTGCTTATGCATTGTGTGAGAAATATTATTCATTTTGATTTCTATAAAGGCTTCTGCCTAATAACTTTATCTGGTGCCACTAGTCCTGTAATTAGGAGATACAGTGAATTTCAAGTCATATTTTCCATACACTTAATTACCTTACTGACAGCTTTCCATACTTGACTCTTGTCCAGGCTAAAGATTTCCAGCTTTTTAGTCTTTCTTGAAGAAGTGCCCCATGACCTTGTTCCTTTTTATTGCCTACTTATGCATTGTCATATTGGATTATGAGTTTTGAAATGGAGTAAATCAGAGCTGTATGAAGTTATTTGGCTGCATAATATTGCTTTCTGTGGTTTTCTCCTAAATTTTTTTCAATATCTCATAACAGACAATTTTCTTCTTCTCTTCTTGCTGAGCTTTGAGTTAATTTTTATCCAGAGTGCTCTCCTTTATTGCAAAAGACAGACTAAATGTATGATTCTTCTTAGTTTCTAAATTACTTTGAAATACTTATACTCCTCCAGAATATTTATTCTGAATACCCATTACCATCTTCTGCAGTATTCTTCTCTCTTCATCTTGGAAAAATTAGTTCGATGAGTATTTTGCATTCATACTCCCAGCTTGTTCTATTTCTTCTTCTTTTCAATGAGTTAACAATTTTTTAGATGCTGTCTTAAAGCCATTATCATTGTTAAGCAACATTGTTTCATAGATTCAAACATGCAGACTCTTATATCTCGAGAGAATACATTTCATTGTCACTGGGACTTACCATTAGTTTGTGTTTGCCAGACAGCATCAGATACGCCCCAAAGACCAGGGATTATGAAAAGCACAGCAAGCTGCTTGGGATCAGGTTTCCAGAGCAGTACTGTTATTATACAGCCTGTGTTCAGAATTGCAGCTGTTGATTTAGAAGGAAATAAAGAAGAGAAATATAGATGCAATTATAATCAGGACAGATTGTGGTAGATAACACGTTTTTATTCTACCCCCAACGAAACCACAAGGCAATCTTAAAATCTTTCTGGTTCATTGAGCTTTGCACTGACTGAGTTGATATCACATGAAATACAAGATAATGCAGGCCTTTGACAGTGTCTAATTCATAATTCTAAGCAGCGTCCTGAGCTGAGAGATCCTCAGTGCTGATATGGTTGTAGCCAAAGGGCACGAACCACTGAGTAGGAGAAGGAGCTTCTGGAAGGCTTGCAGTCACCATGTGAGGCATGTGGGAAGCGGGGCCAAACACCCTTCTGCTCTCCTTGTCTTAAATGAAGTTTTCATTTAGGGCCAGAGGGGACAGTTAAGGATTTCTAGAGGGTGGCTTTGAGTCTTTCTTTTGAAAAGTGGTTTGTAAATGAGTCAGAGATTTTTCCCCCCACAGGTGCACATTCACAGGCTGAGTAAAATGACCACTAAACAGAATTGAGAGGTTCAGAGCTCTTCCATTTCTAACACTACAGTTCTGGGTGAAATTTAATTGTTTATGGCTACTATGAGGTGTTTTTTGTTTTTTGTTTTTTTTGTGGCTTTTTATATCTGAGTTTTATAGACTGAGACACACACCTAGAACAGACAGAAGAATCTTTGAGCTAGTGACTATAACAGAAAGCACTCTAAATTTCTTCTTCCTTGTCCAGGTTTAAAATTTCCTGAGGAGAATATGCCTAGAATGTCTTGATGTATATTTATCTATTCAGTGATGTTTCTAATAACACAAATTATTGCACAGTGAAATTAGGTATTAGTCCACTTCAGTATACAGAGGCACGAAATATTTCTTGGTATTTTTTATGCCTCCATTACTCATTGGAAAAATATTCTCTGGAGGGGGAGATGTTCTTAAATATGCAAATCTTTTCTCAAGGCAACATGAAAATTACTGTCCCATACAAAAGCCCTTAAATTATTCTAGCTTGATACATGTCTTTCTTCTATTTTTCTAACTATAGAACAAGTAGTAAAAAGGACAGCAGGCCAACCTTTAAAAAGCTTCCTGAAATTTCACTCAAATTTCCAAGTTTGTAATTTCCTGAGACTCAGATAAGCAGTGACTTCCTTTCACTCCATAAGGGTGAGGAGGGTTCAACCCAGTGGAGAAATCCTACTTATGATGGTGTAATTCTCAACATCTGCATTGTAAGTCAATGCATTGACTGCATCAGAGCTATAAAGCATCAAAGCTATAGGGCACTTTCTGCATAGATAGAGCCCTCAAAAGCAGGCTGAACTCACATCACCAGCAAAGTGATGTTAGGCAAGGACAGCAATACAGTGCTTAACTGTGAGCTGAGCTGCCTCTCTTCTCATGAATGAAGTTTGTGAAGTCTGTCTCTAGACTGACTTTGGTTTTAATTGTAAGCTATCCCTTTGTATATGCAAAGGAGGGAGTAGTGGATGTGATTACATGTGGTGATCAGTCATTCAAGAAATCTTTACATACCTAATGCAAATAGAAGTTTTCTACCCGTGAACTGGGAGATCTTTCCAAAGAGCAGAGAGCAGAGGGAATTTATGGCTGCAAAGCAGATCATCATATAGCCAACGTAGTGTATCCCCAGGACACAGGTTATAAAACTCTGGAAGAGAAGGGATAGTGGTGTCACATTTTCTTTGATAAAAATAAACAGCTAAAGTTCAAGGATCTTAGCCTGAGTGTTTGGTAAATAGACAGCATGGACAAGATAAAAAGAGCACAGCTAGAGAGTTTGCTGACAAGTCCCTGGTGCATTTACATAGCTGGCCTTCTGTAGCAACTTTGCTACCCCAGTTCCCAATCAGTCTGATGCCATGCAAACAGGGGAATAGCAAGCAGAACAAATTTGAGCCATGCTTGCTGTACAAATAAAACTCCTGAAAGTAGCATTAGGAATTTTCTGCCCTTCCCATCTTAGCCCAAGAGATGTAAATTGACAATTGACACTCTGGTCATGACAGAGCAGTTCCCAAAAAGTAAGAGGACCTCTTCTATAAGAGCATATAACCAGTGGAGGTTGCCATGGAGTGCCCCTTTCAATCTCTTCCAACACAGCAATAAGTGCACCATCCCATCTGATTTATATGCAAGGTTTGAAAGCCTTAAGCATGAAAGAATCAGCTCAGGAAGGTTGCCCTCTTTCTTTTGAGGCTTTCTCAACAAATGCCAGGAGAACACACCTGCTGCATGTCTAGGTTTGTCAAGAAACTGGAAGAGCAGGGGTGGTTTTAATCACTTCAATCTGTCAGGCTCTGGACCTGTTGCAGTAGTGACTGGTGAGGGCTTTCAGCCAGCCATGTTGAGGATTAGCCTTCTTACCGTAAAGGTTGTCAAAATAAAATGTGTGGAATGTGGCTGACTTGCATTTATACAAGCTCTAGGGAAACCAGAAGAGGAAGGAAGATATGGAAGCTTTGCTGGCTTCTGGCTTTTCTCCCAGTTTGCTATTTACAACAAGGTGAAGAGTTTGAACCTGTAGCTCTCTGCTGTGGCATCCATTGGTGAGTTAAGCTCTCTACTGCATTCATTTTGAGGCTGTTCCAAGAGACATATTTACTGCTGTTTGAAGATGTCACTCAGAGGTCATTCACGTAGAAGTAAGCAGTAATTTTGCAATCCACAAATCATCATTAAAAACATCTTTATTTGACAAGTAAATATTGATCAGATGTAATAGTAAGATGCAACAGCACAAGAAAATCAGACAGAAATATATTTTCATTTACATCCATACCTTTGAGTAGTCACCAGCAAGAAATGCCTGTTCAAACCCACTGTACATTGTCAGAGGGATTAGAAGACACTGTCTTTTATCTTTAAGATGCCGGAAAGTTGCTAGGAACGTAGACCAAAAGGATGATGCCTTTAGTTTTTCTTTCTCGGTCTGTGTTTGGTCAGATTTGATCTGGTCCAGAAATATAATAACCAGCAACACAGCTAGCACACCACTAGCTGGAAAAAAAAAAACCAAACCAAAATAAAACAAAAAGTTCATGAAAACCTGAGGAATGCTGAAAGAACGATAGGAAGTCGCTTGCTGCTGTTACTGTTCTGACTTGGTGCTTAGCTCTCTGTGGGATATTTTGGCAGCTGCCTCAGATTCCGCTTCAGTGTAAAGGCCATTTCAGTATAAACAAGAAGGCCTGATCTACATTCACATCTTCTGCATACAGCTGTGCACTGGCAAATCCCCTCAGCTTAGCTGTGGCTGGGCTGTTGTGACAGCCGCCGGGCCAGCTGCACAGCCGCAGAGGGTGATGGCTCTCCCTTCCAGGGCAGGCCAGGGCACAGTGATGGGAGCTGGCCAGAAACAGCTCCCTCGGGAGCTATCACAAGGCTTTAAATCAACAATACAGGGGAGTATTCACTTCCAGTGCCAAGGTTTTCATGGCTAGCAGGGCTCTTCTTTCAAATACATGGAAAGAAAAATAAATGCTGTCTTGAAGCCCAGTATATGTTGTGCCTTTTTTTTTTTTTTTTTTTTGGCTCAGAACCATGCTTTGAGTATGGAATATATGCTGTTTTGAAGACGATAGTGAGCAGATCTAGTTAACTTGAAAAGATGGAAGTTACAGCTTTAAACCCATAATTTCCGAGCAGAAGCAGCATATAAAAGAATATATAGAGTATTTAATCAGAAAATGATCATGCATCTATCAGTCTAGATTTGTTGCTTGTGTAGAGAATCAAAACAATTTTTTTCATGGTATCAAGAAGATAACCATGCCTCATAATATACATGAGACAACCATTGATTCACAACTGATTGCTTCATTATGGATGCAGGGCATGATAATGTTTCCTCACTTATGCTGACTAGAATTCCATCCATGGAAAGAAGTACAGTTCAGAGTAAGATGAGAACCAGGCACCTCTTTCCATCCAGTTTGCTTTTTTAATGTGCCCCTATGTTGTGTGTATGGACATTGTCTCTACTGTGAACTTTTACTATCCAAATACATCAGCAGATTTATAATAATTGCCTTATTTTTTATTGCTGATTATTTTTCATCAATGTGTCCTAGGATTTCTCCAGCATCCTGGTTCTCCACTGTGGCTGAGCTGTAAATCCTTCGTGATTCAAGTCATTATTGGTACTGCCAGAGTGTTTATTAGTACTTATGGACTAATTGCTGGACTTAAATAGGTGAGAGCAGGACACCCACATTTCCAGAGAAATATATATAACAAATATGTTAAATGAATCAAGATCAATTATAAGAGATAATGGCATGGCTTAATAGCAGTTGGTATGACCATAAATAGGAACATTCACAGTCCGTGAGAAAGCAAAACAGCGGAAGAGTTATCCCTTATTGTCTCCACCCAAGCTGGGCAAGATAACTACTCAGCCACCAAATTGAGGACACATTTATAAAATGTCTGTGAATGAAATATTTAGCCAGTTACTTTCCCTTGAGGTAAGAAATGACATCTCTTTTATTAAAGGCTTAAAAGAAAAATGAAACCCCACTGACACAGGGTCAGGAAGAAGCAGGGTTGCATTCACTTTGCATGCACAAACCCTAAGGGAGTGCTGTATATGTTAGTCATCAAATTTAAATTTAAACTTTACAGACAAACATGCCTTTAGCAGAAAGTCATCGGCTCCAGTACATTCTGTGAGGAGAGTGGGGGCATATTTTTTACACTTTCCCACAAATTATGAATGGAGGATGAGGACAGAGGAAGAGTTTTCTGCAGTGCCCTTGTGCACTGAGATTTGGCCCTACCTGGATCACATACACTCTGTCGGAGTGTATGGCGAATTCTATTCTTCTGCTCCGCACAGAGACTACATCTATGTTCAGAAGCTGTGAAAATATTTTGACAGAGCAAAGTTGTACATTGCCTTACCAGATACTTTCCTTTATCCAGAGAATAAATTCTTTTGATTGGGATACTTTCGGTAACTTTCCTCACTCAGCTAATCCTTGCATATCTATTTATTTCTTTTAATGGCATCAGCTTCCCTGTATTTAATTATTTTCTAGCCTTGTGCAAGGAAGGTCTATAGCAGCTGTAGTTACTAAGTGGGAGATATGCCAATTTGCCTGGCTGAATTTGGGTTACCACACTGGGCTTCAGCTTTACTCCAGGTGAAAAATGTAAAGAATATATTTCTCCTTTAGATAAAAATAATACAGCTCTGGCAAAAAGCATTAGAACTATTTAGGAAGGAGTTGTGTATAGCTCTCACATATCTCATTTTCCTTTAATAAATTGAATTGAAGGAGAAAGTCAGAAATCTGCAAAGCCATGCAAGATTCCACTGCTGCTAGGCTCTCCATCAGTGATTAAAGACTGTGTGGATTACTCACCAGTATAGACCCCTACCAGTGTGTAGATTAAGGAGTCAGAGGGTCTTTCTGACCCAGTGCTGTTAGTGGCATCAGTCAGGCAATCGTATGCTCCACAGCATTCCAGGTCTTCTTCTGAGATCTCCCCTAATTAAGAACCAAAAGAAAGGTAGGCCAGTGAAGAGATAAGGTAAGTGCACACTATGTGCAAGGATATGAGGATATAAGGAAGATCCTTATACTTAGTGATTGGTCCTGGTTTTAAGCCTTTCTTGATTAGAGATATTTAACTTCAGAATCCCCATTTAACACACAAAAATTTGGTTTAAGAGAAAAAAAGGAGACTCTGAATTAATGGTTACATGAGGGCAGGGACTAATGTTAGAGGCTGAAATCTGAATCCAAGCTCATTTTGTGGTATTCAAAGTTTGGGTATATATTTTTACCTCTTAATCATAATACCTCACGAGATAGGTCTTTAAGTTTACACCAGCAAGGGACTAATGGACTTCAGTTCTTACAGCCACCTCACACTTTCCCTCTCCAGATAATTTCTGTATATGCTATAGGGACAGAAACCACCTCAAGACATTTTTTTTTTTTTTTTTTAAATAAATTCCAATAATGATTACTCAGTATTGCAGTCTTCCAAGTAGCCTGCTTTTCCTGACTTTATTATTTTACTACTGCCTTTATAATTTTCTGAGAGCACACTTGAAACTAACAGTTCAGCAGGCTTTGGAGTAAGACCTTTGCTTGGTGCAGTCCTATTGTTTCTATGCAGGGCATATGTCAAAGCCTCAAACACACATGTACTCACACACACTGTCACCAGCACACTGTGCCCACTTCCTCCAGTACCCTATTGGTAAAGAATAAAGGCTAACCCAAAGTGTAAGCCTGAATAAACTGTCTACTGGAGGAGGATGATCCAAACCCCGCACAATAATTTTAGTGCTTTCACTGCAGAATTTGTCTCTAGTCCAAGCACAATAAAGGGCAATACAGCTGTACTTTGGCTGATTCCTTAAGGAAGAGCTGATCCATAATTTTTCAATTAAGCTTATTGTGTAACTACTTTTAGTGTATTTTTCCTGATCGCTTCCCATCAAAGCTGCTGTGATGTGAATCAGCTGCCTAACCAGCTTCATAAACAACTTTAGGTTCAAGATAAAATAAAATGTAGTAATGTAAAGAAAATTATTACCTTATTATAGTCACTACTACTACAGACCTTCAGCAAAAAATAGACAAACAGACTTTCAGCAAAATTGCCATATGCAAAAGGTGAGTCACATGAGTAAAGCGTGGAAATGTGTAAAACAAGTTTTTTATTGGTTCCTGCATCATCTGAAGATGAAGCTGCAAATGCAATTAATCATATGCAAGCTGCAGGGCAGGATTTGCACTGTTTCTCTTGAATTAAAACCATAATATTGTTGAGTGAGGAAGGATGACTCTTGTAATTTACACTGATTACTGTCTTACGTTCTGGTATTACCTTATGATGTAACTTTGCTTTGCTGTGTCTGGATGCAGTGATGCAGGCAATACATCAAGAGTAGGTAGATGTCTGAATTTTATGCATTTTGATTCTCCAGATACATGCTGTATTTTTCCTACTGCTCAGCGAAATTATACATTTTAAGTACATGAAAATATGAATGGATGCCTTTGCACAATTCTCAGAGGAGAGAAAAAGAATTGCATGACTGGAGATTCTTACCCCCTCACCCCAGCAAAGAAGTTCCCTCTAGATTAAAGCCGTGTCTCACTGAGAAGGCACAGTAGTGAAACTCATGTTATAACTGCTCATCACTGTCATGAAGATGTGCAAGGCCTTTGGCTTTGAGAGCTGTTCACAGGAACACAGCATTTTTTGAAATTCTATTTAATAGATAAAAAAATAAGTGTCTTTAGAGTTTGGAGCAACATCCTCAAAAGTAAAACTAGGAAGGGATATACAAGACAAAAACCAGTGTTTTATTCTTCTTGTTAAACTTATGTGTGCTGTGAGGCAGAGAAGAGTCAAATGGCTGCAGTCTGTACAGACCCCACAGCTGCACCACTGCCTCTACCCTGCAAGTGAAATCAGGACACAATCCCTGCTGAGACATCGTGTGGCTCTGGGATCAGGTCAGCAGGGCTCCACGGCGCTTGAAAAGGTCTGCCAGCATTTTGCTTCCATGGTGCTTCTCCTGTAGTTACTTAGGTTTCAAGGAAGCATGATTCTACCCTTGTGACAACTACTTTGTCATAAATCCAAAGATACAAAGATTAAAACCTGATGCCAGCTTCCTGACATTTAACCTAGTAGCTATTTGAGAATTCTTCAGAGGATGTACTGCTTAACTGAAATGGGAAAGAGGAAAGGTCTTGCTACTCTTAGTAGCAGTGTATATGGAAAGCTCTCTCCATGTCTGGAGAATGACCCTGTTTTGATTTTGAGGGGATGAGAAATGTACAGAAGACTGCAAAGATAAGACACCACAGCATTTTGAATCTCTAAGGTGGCATCCAAATATTAATTTATCTTCACAACTACCCTTCTAAAATTGATGCCAATTACATGCATGGGAAATGAGTGCACTGCTGCTGAGTGATTTCTTCAAGCTACATTGGCATCTGCTGTCTGAGTCTGAAATACAGCACAGGAGCCCTGGCACGCAGGCTCCTGCCAACAGCTACTGCTATTTCTTCTTGACAGCTCTGTAGAGCACTCATTTTCAGCAAGCCCAGCAACCAGTCTGACTAATTTTGAATGCATAACAGCAAACTAACCCAATATTACAAGCTTTGCAAAAAGGTTGGGTCACTATTTTTTCTTTTGTTTTAAACCACTTTTAATAGAAGCCAGATGTGAAGGACTGTCACTGCCCCCAGCCTATCTATGTTTTGCAATACAGGGTGGAATTCAAAGAGAATTCAATAGAGTTCTATTTTTTACTTATTTGTCTGAACTCTCTTTATGGCTGATTTTTGATAGAAAATAGACACTTTCAGAGAGAAATTTATCTCATTTATTTCAGACATCTATCCTCAGATGAGCTAACTCTCATCCAAAGTGCCTGTTTCCACTGACTATGAAAGCTCAGCTGCAGAAATCTACCTCTCATCTACCTAGAACTAGTTGATGTTTATAAAAAGAAGTGCCAAAATTTTAAATACATTTTACCTTGGTTGGAAGATTGGCTAAGGATCAAGGATGAGATAAGATTTCCCCAGACGCCGGAAGTCTGAAACACCAAAAAGAAGATCCCAAAGTATTGGTTGATAATGTCTTTTGCATTTTTTCCTGCTTTCTCGGCATATGAATTGCCAGCAATAGTGAGGTAAGTGCATTTGGCAGACCAGAGTGGTGCTCCTCCTAAGCCCAGGATCACAGATGTAGGGATTAGTGTGTACCTGCCAAAGAACACTTTATTTAGCATAGTTGTTATCATTAGGATAATGATCATTTGCCCAAAGATCCAGCAGCAAAAATAGACATCAAAGAAATAGATTCATCCTTTTTATGATACAATAAATCTGCTAAATGGAATCAAGAAAAGGCCAGCCTTGTGCAGTTTAGGCTGTGCAAGCATATGCAGGTCTGTGCTCATGTGCCTTAACTTATCATAACTGAGAAATAAATTGCACATGCACTTCAGGAGATGGATATTGACAGCTTTCCTCTACAGAATTGCAACCCTTGTCTGGCTTGCAGAAGGTGGAGACCAGAAGTTGTTCGTCCACTTTTAGAAAGAGCTAGGCAGGAGTTAGCCTTCTCCTGTGGTCCACTTCTCTCAGAGCTACTGACTGGAAGATAGTCTTCCCTTCAACCTTTTCAAAAAGAACCCTAAAAGTATTTTGACTTTTAAATGAAACTTCTGTGTTTTTTTTCCCCAAAGCTGAATCTCTGCTACAAACATGAGTTAGAGAAGCAGCTTCAGGTGGGTGTATGGATGTATTCATTCTGACTCTTTGCACATTTTCACCTCTCTGGTCCACCTAACTGGATTTATTTATCTTGATTTGTTCCAAGTAGCACCTTTTGCATCCAGCTTTCTACTCTGCAACACAGAGCTAGAGTAGGAATGGAGAAGAAAAAGAAGAAAGAACTTTGCTCTTACTTATTTTGTTTGAACACAACAGTGAGAGTTAAATTATTTAAATCATACCAGCTAGCATAGAAATTCCCTAGGGAGTAGGTGACATAGCAGCACATAGAGACTGCAATGGTCCACTTGCAGCCCAGCTTCTTGATGATGATTGGAGGGAGGAACATGGACGATAAGGTCAGCGCAGAAAACAGAACACTTAGGGAAGCAACACCCAGGCCTTCTTCTGCATTGAGACTGCTCTGCAGGGACAAAAACAGTGATTGAGACAAATTTTATCACAGGTACATATTGCTATGGTGTACAGAGAGTGGCTTTGGGCAGAAATAAAGAGACACAGTATCTGGGGCTGGGTATTACTGTCTCATCTCCCCAAAACAGCCTGATTATGGACTTGGAATTTTCTTCAAAATGATAGACCATTTATGAAAACATGATACAAAACCAGGTGTGGATTGCTCAGATTCAAACCTTTGGTAAGTCATTCTTTAGATTATTTCATGTTATTGGTTTGAATTTCTCTTTGAAAGCAAGTTGAATGAAAGATAACATCTTTTCTTGGCCTTCATTTGTTGCCTTAGGCAGGAATATTCTCAGATATGCATTGCAAGGGCTGGCATAGCAATAGTGGGAGATTCTTTGCTTTAAACTACAGGTCTGATAATTTCTAAGATTTTCGGAGGCCAAGGTCCAAATATCCTAATAAGCTTGCATAAGTCCTCAGTAGTTGAAAATAATTGATTCACCCACATTTTCACGAAGAAAGAATAACATTTTACTGATCTAACCAGGTTTTTTAGTTTTATGCTCAAACTAGTTCTCCTCTTGTCTTGAGCTCTGAAAGTTGAAATGAGAAGATTAATTTGGGAGACCTGGGCAAGCTTGAAAAATGGGTCCATGCGAACCTAATGAGGTTCAACAAATCCAAATTCAAGGGTCAGGGCAATCCCAGACATCAACAGACTGGGAGAAGAACTCCCTGAGAGTAGCCCTGCAGGGGAGGACTTGGAAATTCTCTGCATGAAGACCTGGAAAAGACCAACAGTGTGCATTTGCAGCCCAGAAAGCCAGCTGCATCCTGGCCTGAATCAAAATAAGTGTGACCAGCAGAGCAAGGGAACGTCTCCCTCTACTCTGCTCTGCTGAGTCTCCATCTGAAGCATTTCCTACCGTTCTGGGCTCCCTGGCACAGGAATGACATGCACCTATTGGAGAGGAGGGCCATGAAGATGATCAAAAGGATGGACCATCTCTCCTAGACAGGCTGCAAGGTTGTTTCAGCCAGAAGAAGAGAAGACTCCAGGAAGACCTCATTGCAGCTTTACAGTACTCAAAGGAGACATTAAAAAGGGAGGATGTGACCTTTTACAAGGGCAGGTAGTGATAGGCCAAGAAAAGGCAACAATTTTAAACTAAAATAGAGATTTAGGGTCGCTATTAGAAAGAAAATCTTTACTGTGAGGGTGGTGAGGTATTGGAACAGGTTGCCCGGAGAATCTATGTTCAAGCCCAGACTGGGTGGAGCTTAGAGCAACCTGGTTTAGTGGAAGGTGTCCTTGCCCATGATGGAGGGATGGAACGAGATGACTTTTAAGGTCCTTTCCAACCAAAACATTCTGCAATTCTATGCTGTTTAGCAATGGTTTCCTGATTGTTTTGATTAATCAGTGATATACTTCAGTATGCTTTTGGAAGGGGGACTGGATGCTGAGGGGGTGGCACTGGAGAGCGTTGTAGGGGAATTAAGTTCTTGGTGGCTTCATGCAACACTTTACAAACCTGCAGTGGTTGTGCAGTCTGGCCATGCAGGACCATGGTGGCTGCCATGCAGCATGCTTGGAGACAGCCAGGTACCAGGACAGTGAGGTGAGGACAGTCTCTGTTAGACAGGGCAAAGGCATTTGAGAATTGGAGTGGTTGTTGTGTAAACAGGCAAATAGGCTTCCTGATCTCAGAGGTCTTATTTTTGAAACATCACATGCCTGGTTTTGTCAGCTACAACTTCCACAAATTAAAAACCAGGCTTCCACAATAATATGATTTTTACTGTCTGGGTTTTTGATTTTTTGTTTTGGTTTTTTTTTGTTGTTGTTTTTTTTTTGTTTTTGTTTTGGTTTTTTTTGTTTTGTTTTGGGTTTTTTTGTGGGTTTTTTTGTGGTTTTTTTGTGTTGTGGTTTTTTTTTGTTTTTTGTTTTGTTTTGTTTTGTTTTGTTTTGTTTTGTTTTGCTTGGTTTGGTTTGGTTTGGTTTGGTTTGGGTTTTTTTGCGGGGGGGTCTGGGTAGTGGACTATTGAAATGTATGATGACAATTTTTTACATTCCAGTACTTATAGGCTCACAGATTCACAGAATATTCTGAGTTGGAAGGGACATACAGGATCATCAAGTCCTACTCTGAAGTAAATGGCCTGTATGGGAATTGACCCCCCAGCCTTGTTGTTCTTAGCACCAAGCTCTAACCAGCTGTTTCAAATGGTGGGACTGACTTGCAGCTTCTAGGGTTTATCTTTCCTTGCCTCATCAGTCTCCCCAACTCATAATACCTCCTAATAATCTAGTTTTGGGACTGTTTTTGCAGAACAGCCCTGAGTTCAGAATCTGCCAATGCCAGCAAAGAAAATCTGTTCAAGGAGAGAAGACAGTCCTGAAACGAGGTCAAGCCATTGTTATTGCAAACAAGTTCATCATGTTATGTATCAAGTTCCACCTTTAAGGCATACAAATTCCTACTCCATTTGGAAAATTCAATACAGTTGATCATGATCATATGTTAATATCCTGCCTAAAGTTGCTTTTCAATGTCTTCTATTCATTTATCAGCCATTAGACCAGCAGAGCCTTTAAGGCTGAGAAGTTTCTCCTTGTGTTTATCTACTCAGAAGCATTCATAGACAGCAATAGAAACCTTCAGTCTTTTATTTTGGATGAGCAAGTAAGCTCTATTGGTAACCTGAGTATTCGAGTCATTCTAGAAACCCATCTCTGCTACTATGTTTTAGGATGTTAATGCCAGTAAAGCCACATAAATGCCTTATTAAAAAAAAATATTTTTTACTATTATTTTATATCATGATCCTAAAAATTACTGTATTATTTTTATGCTTAAACAATTTAATGGTTTGAGAATAATTTTAATTATTTCACATTACTGTACAATAATAATTATTATAAAATCTTAGCAATTTAGAAATATTCAAAACAAATCCTTTTCAGAAACTGAATTTCAGTTTTCCATTTGGCAGTATCTTCTTTTGAGAAAAGTCATGTCAGTTAAATTTTGTTTTCTGTTTCCATTGAAACAGGTTTTGTGGATCTAGAGTAGTAGCATGACACAAATATGTGAGCTATTTGAGAAACACTACAATAAAATATTTAGTAAATGCTGTGGATCCAGGTGAGGAATATTAACCTGCAGCAAGTTAATGTCCTAACCCACCTCATAAAAAATACTGTGCATGCCTTCCTCACAGACACCATGGAAAGACTGACGTGTTTCACACTACCAGTTGGCCTGATGCCCTTCCAGACCAGCTGTACTGACAGCCAATGGGAGATGCCCCTCTTACCTGTAGACTCTGGAGTCCTGAGTAAGCAGTAAAGAGAAGTAAAAATCCGAAAGAAATGACCAAAACATTCTTAAAATTCCTTTCCATGTTGATTCATAGAAGACAAAAGGTCTGCCGGTGGGCAAAGCTGATCCAATTATTCCAGGGGATGATTTGAGTTGGAGAAAAACAGCTTATGCCTTGTTGGAAAAGGTCACTTTTTTCTGCGTTTGTAGAGAAGAGAGTTGCTAATTATTTGAAGATTGACCAGTGAACTTTACTTTTAAATAGTACTGAAAACTTCGTATGGAGTTGTTACTCATTCACTTGTTACTCAGGCAATAGCCAGCAGTCCCAAGGGCACCTATCATGTTTTTTTTTTACAGAGGTATATAAGTCTCTTGCAACACTTGCACCTATTTAAGTACTGAAGTAATATATTATATGGCTCTCCACTATGATCAGCACAGAAGAAAAAAATTGCAAGCTGTGAAATCACTTTCTGTCATAAAGATACACAAGTCCATAAGTGACAAAGATTAAATGATGTACTGAAATCTATGTCAAACCTCTTGCTTAACTGTATTTACAAAAGTGTGCTTCAAAATGAGATTGTGCTACAGCTCTGTCTGCATACACCAGCTCCATAACTGGGCAGCACAGAATCCCAAAGCTCCTGGGTACTTGGCAAGTGGGACAGCCTTCATTCAGGGGGAACCTTGGGGCTTTGGTCCCTCAAGTTTACCAAGTCATACTCATGAAATTTTTTTTTCCCAATCTTTCTCATCAATGCAGAAGCCAATAAAAACAAAGGTGGATTAAGTAGGTAACTGAAAAAGCAAGTTCCCCTCCCCTTCTCTGGCCCTAAGACTGGCAGGGCGAATGGACCCTTCCTGCATCTGTGGCACACGAGGGATTTGAACTTGGGAGCAAAGTGGAATCCAAAAATGTCCATTCTATGATGTAAACAGGTCTGTAGGGTGTCCACAGTGTCCATTGAGAATGCACAGCTAAGACTTAGTCTAAATCCCACTAGATGGCACAATTTTGCTTCCCACAGGGACATTCATGGATAAGGGGAGGAAGTTACAATGCATAAATTAATTTAAAATATTTAAGAGGTCACAGCCAGTTTCTGCTTTGGAGAACATTGCAGTATGTGCCTTTTCATTTTCTTCTTTTGCCTTATAATCTTCTCAAATGAAATAATGCAGAAAACATAATCTTTTAATTCTCTATTGTTACTGGTACTTCTATGTTGCAAGTCTAGATAATGGCTTTTTATTTTACAGGCTACTATGCTCAGCATGAGAACTCCTTGAATGAGATCACAATGCTGCTCTTGTTTGGCAGTGTTTGTAAGCCTCTACAAGAAGCTTAGACCAAACTGGTGGTACTTTCCCCCATCTTTTCAGGTTAATGGATCCCTGCAATTTTCATGTGACAATATTTCAGAAGAAATTTACACTTGGTGATAACATGCTTGTTTCTGTTTTGGACCCCTTAGAAAAGGTCTGCAAAATTCTAGGAATTTGCAGTCACAGGTCTAAAACAATTGAAAAAAAATATTGAGGCTATGTAAGAATAATGCTTATCCTAAACAAAAGCACAATTATCACCCACTCTGGCACAGGCAAGAACCAGGAATAGTGCAAAGACAAGTTTTTCTTTTAGTTCTCTTTCTTGACATTAGCAGTAATAATAAGAAATCTTTAAAAATCATCTTTAACTGGACAATATTTTTTAAATGCAGTGTTGGACAGGTTATCTGATCAGTAATTCTGCTCTGGAGGAATTCCTGACTCCTAGTTCATAACATTTTCTTAGCAGCATAATATTGGACAGCATATGGGGGATAGTGGTAATTTGTGTGTGTAGGGTTTTTTTCCCTCTTCTTTTCACTGATCAAAGCCTGTTCCACATCCCTTGCCCAGAGCCTTGGTTTATCCGACTGACTGGTCCCAAGCCCCTCCTTAGGAATGTGCAGAGGCTTTACCAAAGGGATCTGATAAGGCTGAGGATCTTTTCCTTTGGTACCAGGCAGCCAAAGCTCCAGCAGGCCTGCTGTGTATCACCCTTGACACTTCTTTCGTTCTTTCTGCCAGTCCAAGATTAAGTGAGCCTAAACCTCAGGAGCTGTGTGCTGTATTTGGGCATTAGGTTTCACACAGAAGACTGCAGCCACCAAATGAAAGCCACTTGCAGAGCACAATCATGAAAGAGGCTGGTTAGATTCATTACTCCATCCCACAGGTGATTACATTTGTTTTCACCTGTTTATTTTCTCAGGGTAAATGAGGGGAGTCTTTGCTCAAAAGATTATAGCACGAGAGGCTAATCTTTGGAGGGTTTTGTGCTTCATAATTATCTCCCTATTTAGTCTAATTTATTGTTTAGGAAATTGTTTACTATTGTTTAGTAATTTTAACAATAACAGAAGAAAGCCCCACAACACCCAGGATACTCCTCATAGGATTTTCTGCCTTAGGAGGCTTTTAATTGGTTATTTCCTTGGTGGTACACAGTATCCCTTGAATCTATCTACGGAAAGGATGCTTACACAGCATTTCCTCTCTTGCTGTGAAAACCTGACCATGTTACTTCCTTATTCTCCTCCTCCTTCACCTGTGTTTGTGCCCTGCTCATTTTGGATTTGGAGCAGGAAGGGCAAAGCCCAGCCATTTCTGACAGGGGCATTGGAAAATACCACCTGTTACATGTTGACAGAAGGTCACAAACTGAAAGTGAGGTAAAAGTGAAGTGAACAGATCAAGCAAGAAAAGCCATTTTCTTCCAGGAAGGGGGTTGTAAGGGACTTGCCAGTCAGTAAACACATTTTACCCACAAAGTTGGGGCAAAATAATTTTTGTAGTGTCAAAGGCTCAAGAATTGTAACTTGCTCCTGTTTGTCTATGAAGGTTTGAACATTTCACCCTTCTTCAGTATTTCAGGTCTCATTTCCAAATTTCCTGTATTTCCCATCTCCCCTTTCAAATACTTCTCTCCTACTGTGCAAAGCATCCACAGATACTGTCCTTTCATGTCTTCTCCCAGGATTCTCTCTGCATGCAGAGCTGTATAGACATGAGTAAGCCACTTCTGTCTGAGCCCTATCTCCTGATGTCCTCTGTCTTTCTCTGGAGAAACCCAAGTGTCTGTCTCAATCTTCCTTTATGTCCTTGATGTATGCCATCCTTCCTTAATCCCTGCTTTGCTGTTCCCTAGCCATCACTCTGCCTCTGTCTTGCTGCTTCTCCCTTCTTACCTCATCTTCTGAGTGCCAGCAGACTTGTTGATTCTTAAGGGAGTGGCTTGTAAACTGCAGGTGGTGTTCTTGTTTCACAGGTTATTACACTACTCTTAGCCTCACTGGCTGTAAGGTCTCTCTCTCTCTCCTCCTTTAATACCGCTCTTGATTTCTCACAAGGTCAATTTTTTTCCAGCTCCACTCCCTATTACTTAGGGAAGAAGAGAAGAGACACTTTTTCTTCTCTGTTGGAAGAAAGATCATGGTAGAAAGGGAAAAAGATCCTAGAAGGGTACAGGCTTGAATGAAATTGACTTTTTTTTTCTTTAGGGCCATGTAGGAGACTTTCCCTGCAGGACACTTATCTGCTCTGTTGAATGCAGCTCTCCAAATAACCAATATCATCTTTATAATAAAGACAGAACTCAGTTTAGGATAGGATAATGTGATGCCAATCTAGACTCACTTATAAATTCTTATGACCTGGAGAAAGAGTTCCTTTAATTGTTGGACTTCTTATAGCTGTTACTCACCTCCTGAGATTTGCATCACTTTTGGCTGGAGTTTTCAATGCATGAACCCATGTATGAGGGTGTTCACAGACACTAATTCTAGCCTAGGGAGAAGTTCAAGCATTTTGAAGGTAGCACAGTGCCCTGTAGAGCAGCCAACCTCTCCATGGAGGACAGCCAAAGAGGTCAGACTCACCAGGCTGACAGCTGCCTGTGAACAAGCCCCTGCTTCTCCACCAGAGTGGTCTTGCATTCATTCTCTTATAATAAAATGCTTTTATCTGGTTCAAACTCAGCCCAGTAACATTCTACTTTCTTTAAAGTGTTGTATGAGCACTGACATAGTACTTGGGCCTTATCCTGCATTTTAGATGTTTCAGAATAGGTGCAGTAATCCCATTTCTAAGCCTAAACCATCGAATGTGACTCAGTTGGTTAGACTTAACACCCGGCTAAGATAAACATGCCACTGTTGTGATCTGTGCTTTTATAATGAATGGGTAGGGAGGCAGATCCTGCATATGAACAATGGACTTTTGTAGGGCAGTGGCTCTGAAGTCTTTAGAGCCATTTACTGGAAACTGCCTGACTGCATACTGGTTGTTCACATGAGCATGCATGAGAAATTCCTTGCACACACCCATTATGTGTGCTGGGAGAATGGGACTCCATCAGCAACCCAAATGATACACATTTTTACCTTTTCTTTTTTGTTCAGAGGTGGCAGTTCATGTTATTAATGACCTTTATGAAGCTAGCTCATAAAAAGGTCTATAGTGATCAGTCAGGATGCCCCTACTGTTGAAAGGCTATCACTAAGGTTTGTGATGAATTCATCAGCCAATAGAAATAAAAAGAAGAGAAAAGAATGGGGCTTGATCCCAGAGAGCAGGGCTTCTTAAAGGCGTGTTGGTGTATATGTCCTGGAACATGGAGGGAAGTCCTGATGCCTTCCACCTTTCTTTTGTATATTGATTACACCCGTAACTGGACACTGCCATAAGGGGAATATTTACAGCCTATTTACCACCTACCTGCCATCAATGTAGATATCTATATAAAGATATCAAAGATAAAAGGGAAAGTAGAATAAGTCTCTTCTTCTGAAAGCCTCACTTTTGCTTTCTTTCTCTGAACATACTAGAACCACCTGTAAGGGCGAGAGCTACCAAGCAGAAGTACAAGCAGGGCTCTTGAGAGTGAAATATCAGAAAAAGCAGCTGTAGTGGCTGGTATGAGAGAAAGATAAAATAGAGTATCCATTAAACAGAATAGGCAATCCTGCAGAAAATTTTGATGATAAAATTTCCTCCATATTCCAGTAGATATGATCAGGTGCTTGGGGCTGGTGATTACCTGTTTTACACGGCCTTTTCTGTGACACAAAACATGGGGAAACTACATAAACTTCCCCTAGGGTGACAGGGAGTTTCTCCCAGGTCTGACCAATAGACACTTTCCCTTGCCAGTGTCAGTAAATCAT